AGTGAAGTGGAATCACGAACATCTTCAAAACAATAACTAACCCAAGAACAAAATCTCTTGCGCAGTAGTCGCACACGGCTACGAAATGTTCTTTTCCTGCCAATTTCTCAGTCTCCACAGACCAACCTAGGGACGATGCTATCAAAGCTTCATGTGATAATGGACTCTCCGTTTCCGCCTCGCTTCGACTTACATCGTCTGGGATACTCTGAAAAGATAGCTCTCAGAGATTTCCCTGATACGTCAACGAAAACGGTCTCCGCGATCACCTGTCTACAAACCGTAAGATGAAACCTAAAGTCATTTTCACCGAGAGAACTGTCTCTAAAGATGAAAACACTTGAAAATAGCAGCCAGGCCCTTAATCTACCATCCTAGCGTCCCTAATAAATGTAACAAAAGTGCAGTGTGGATATATCATAAGAAAGGTTAACGGCAATCTTAGTGCAGCGTGGGGGGAGCATTGAGCTTGCTAATTTCTTCATATTTCTCTTTTTGGTAAGCGCCGTGAGCTGTCATGAGCTCTTGAAATGGCATGAGCTTCAGTTAGCTTCACAAGAATTTACAAGTTTCCTCATTAATGAGAGCTGCTGAAATATCCCCTCCTCCTCCCCAGCCGAACGGGCCCTGAGGGAGACAATTAGCAGTCACAGTCCAAGGCAAATTAAAAGTTGCGAAAGCGAAGTTTCCGAGCGTAGATACAGTACAGCACAAAATATCATGCCTACTTTGACTTCTCACTCGATAAAGCTCTCTGGTACCTGAAAAAAAGCGGGAAAGCAACCGTGAATGCTCACCATGTTCAACTTCAAACCCTCTTTATTGAACGAAGATATCCTTGGCCGAACCACATCATCCAAGAAATCTTCGTCTACATCATGCTTGAATTCTAATGGTTCCGATCTATATATACATGTGAGCACATGCGAACTCACAATTTTCTCGCGGACCCGCCTGAAAATTGAATCTCTTTGCTTTCCGTAAAAAAACCTGATTTCAAGAAAGATTTTCACGTGATAGGAGACGCCAGAGAGGGGTCTCATAACTACCATGGATATCAAGCAATACACAAGTTCGACATCGAAAGGACAATCAAATCGTCACTTATACAACGTGTTCGTTGCAATGAAAAGCGAAACCAAAAAAGCATCGAAACCAAAAAAGCATTAAGGGCCCGCTGTGCAATGGAGAGGTAATATACATGGAAACCACATAGTGGGATTCGATTATCTCCCGAGGCCGAATGCCTTGCCTAAAGCTCAGCCTCCTCACGATAATTTTTCCCCATCGCGAGAAGCGGAAGAAAACGGAGTTCAACAAACAAGACCAATCGAAAATGGGCTCCAATCTCATTCAGGTGCGCAGCATATTACAATGACATGATCCACGCTTTACAGATTGTCACGACGTCGCGCAAAATCTCATGATATGACATGTCGGCGCGAGGAAATGGCGTCTGATCAGGTCATACCTTGGCAAACCCCAAAAATCGTACTCGGTTGCTTGAGGAGGGGGGGAGGGGGGGGTCACCACACTTGCTTCTGATGTTGACTTTTCCTGGTTCTGCCGTTTCAGTATTTTACATATAGTGTAGTTCGCTGCGGACGGTTGGGCGTGTCAGTGCGGCTGCGTTTGGCGCGGTGCCAAACTCGTTCTCCACCAGTTGTTGAAGCGGGCAAGTGACAATACTGTATCATATCCTCGTTTTCTACCACTTTTTGTCGCATGCGCGTTTCAACAAGAAGGCAGAGAACGGCTTTGACGGGGTGACACACATACTGGCTGACACGCCCAACCGTCCGCAGCGAACTAGAGTGTAACTTTTCCCCGCGTCAATGGCAGTTTTTGAGGGAAAACTGGAGAATTATGGAAAAATCTCCGGAAAGTGGTAAAAAGTTGGGAGTGGGATGGGGTTCGCAAGAGAAGAGCAAGTCCCGAGGGGCACTTTGCAGAAGTCTCTCCATTCGCCAGGACATGCCCCTATTCCAGAGCATTCGAGGCTGAGAAATGAAGCTTTTTGGCTAGCATTGAGCCTAAAGAAGGAAGGCTCGTTGAGGTGAACCAGCTCCACTATGCGAAAAGAGGTTGCTACACCTACAGAAAGTGAAGCGGAGTGATTTCATACGGAAAATGTGGTTCATCACTCCAGGACGCCTTCAATACTTCCGAGTCGAGGGTGTTTTATGGGACAAGGTATGCCCCACCGCATAGAATATTGGACTGTGGGCCTATATTGGACTACTGACAAGAAATATGATACATCTCAGTCATAGATTGACATAAGAATAACCTACCTCATACATTTACTGTACACGTTGATATCGACTTCCGTGATTTTCGGGACAGAGGTGCACAGAAATTGTTTGCAAGCGATGCACTGTACTTGATCACGAGCTCTGCATTCCCAACCATGAACGGCTAGCTCACGAGGAGTGATTTCATTTCCAGCCCATAATTCGAACTATAAAGGATACATTCCGATAAACGCATAGAACCAAGGGCAAAAAAGGAACAACTATAACCGAAACAGACAGTGCTAATCTGCGCAAGCAAGAAAGCAAGCCATGTACACAAAAGAAAATGGTCAGCTTTCTCCCATGTTTATAAGCGTTTTTTTTTCGGAAAGGACAGAGTCAGTGCAGTATATGTTCATGTTGCTAACTAATGTTGAATTTTGATTTATCAGAAGATTTCTCCTCTTTTTAGTAGAAATCCCAATTTTTGCAATTCACTCCGCATGCAGACGTTAAAGGAACAATTTTTTCTTAAATTATGCAGCGAACCCATAAAACTGAATCCCCTTTGGTCCCCAACCCAAGTAAGGCCGCGTTCATACATGATGCAGAAATGCCGAACCACGGAATGTGCAGAACTGCGGAATTTGCAGACCTGCGGAATTGGAGAACCGCGGAACTTGCAGAAGGAAGAAAGTATGTCTATCGATTCCAAAAACCTCCGCACTTCTGCATTTCTCCCAATACCGCGATTTTTCAAATCGATACCTGTTTTTTCCCGTCTGCAATTTCGTCATTTCTGCAACGTCGTCATGTATGAATGCGGCCCAACACTTGGTTTCTGACAATGAACGGCCTAATGCTCATTCCTAGCACACGCTTCCGTTTCAGTTAACCCCTAAAGAATAAACTAGAAATACGAAGAACATTGGACACATGTGTACGCAGGCGGAATAATTTAATCATGCAAGGTAACACTTCAAAAAAGGTACTGTTTCGCATGCATAAATTCGATATGGTATGGCCCGCACATAAGGCCGCGTTCATAGCCTGCGACCGTGAAGAAATGCAGAAATGCGGACTGCAGAAGTGCGGAAAGTGCAGAAATGACGAAAAGCATTACATACGTATCGATCTGAAGAAATGCAGAAATGCCGAAAGTGAAGAAGTGCGGAATCTGCAGAAATGCCGAAAGTGCGGAAAATCGATACGTATGAATTGCTTTTCGTCATTTCTGCAGATTCCGCATGTCTGCACATTCCGCACTTCTTCACTTTCGGCATTTCTGATTCCGCACTTCTTCACTTTCGGCATTTCTGCATTTCTTCAGATCGATGCGTA